CAGGGGGGGCAAGGGGGCGGGGGGCAGGGGGGGGCAGGGGGGGGAGGGACGTCCCCAACTGCGGTTTCGCGCTTGTAGGGCTTATATAGGGGTCAGGGTAGAGAACCCTTACTCGCAGGATATGCTGAGTGATAAATACTAAACCCGCTAAAGCCTCACATGTCCTCCTGCAATTGGTCGCGCTCTTCTGCCTCGGCTATGAACGGTGCGCCTGCTTTGTCCCGTTCAGGGTTTCAGCTCTCTAGGTTTTACTCTTAGAGTTGAACGACTTAACAGCTTGATTGAGGAAGTGATGGCTTTAGGTTTCCTCTTTTTGCATTTTTTTTTGGGGGGGGGGGGGGGAACGGGTTGGCGGGGGGTGGAATGTACTGGCCGGCAGCCTCGGTTCAATGTACTGGCCGGCAGCCTCGGTTCAGAGCAGCGTTGCTTCTGGAGAGCCCCTATAGGCCTTCAATGAACCCGTCCCTAAAGCCGCAAACCCAAAAAAGGCTTACATCCTAAACCCTGAACAGGGCTTGGGACTGTGCCTTCCCAGCAATCTCCCTAAACCCTCACCCCTAAACCCAGACCCCTACACCCTAACTAAACCCAAAACCCCAAAACCACCCTCAGAGCCCTACAGGGTGTAAGGCGCCTTCATGTAGGGAATCCGGCAGGCGCGGTCTCTTGAGTTCACGTAGCACAACACTGAGACACCGGCTGCTCTTTTCTCCTGCTTACTTTCCTGCGCTGGGTCTAAGCATTTAGGGTTTAGGGTTGAGTTCGGATCTAGAGTTTAGGATTAGTTTAGGGCTTAGGGTTTGAAGATTGCCCAAACAGATGTAAGTTTCAATGTCGGGCTTAGGATTACAAGCAGATCAAAGGTGTTTAGGCGTAGGGCTTTGGGCGACTCCACCCCGCCCCCAAGCTACGAGAGGCCATGACCGTCGTATGGTCTTCAGATCATCGACATCACCAATACACCCCTCCCCCCCCACCGCCCCCACCCCCCCCCCAAAAAAAAAAAATAAGGTTATGTAGATATATAATATATATATCTTCGCCCGCCCCCCCCCCCCCCCATGATCCACACATTTGGCCTCGGGAAGGCTGGTTTTTGGGAGGGGCGGGACTCCAGACTCCAGATTTCCAGAAAAAATTCTGGAGTACCGGGGCACCGGACTGCCCCGGACTCCAGACTCCAGATTTGCAGAAAAAATCTGGAGTACCGGGGCCCGGACTCCAGACTCCAGATTTCCAGAAAAATCTGGAGTACCGGGACCCTGGACTCCAGATTCTGGAGTCTGTAATCTGGAGTCTGGGGCCCCGGGTACTCCAGATTTTTTCTGGAAATCTGGAGTCTGGAGTCCGGGGCCCGGGTACTCCAGATTTTTTTGGAAATCTGGAGTCTGGAGTCCGGGGCCCATGTTCTCCATATGCACATTTAGGGATTACGGTTTAGTGTTTATTGTTTAGGGTTTGTAGGGTTTAGTGCTCAGGGTTCAGTGTTTAGTGTTTAGGGTCTAGTGTTTAGGTTTTGGTTTTAAAGGTTTAGGGTTTACTTTTTAGGGTTAAGGTTTAAGCGACTTGGATAGTGTCCAAAACCCTAAACCATATAATGATGAAGTTTTACAACCCCTAAAGGACTGAAACCCAATGTTATTTTGGTTTCGGGTTGGCTTAGGGTTCAGGATGTGTTGTTCCGGGTTTAGGGTTTACTGTTCAGTGTTTAGGGTTCAGTGTGTAGGTTTCAGAGTCTAGTGTTTTGTGTTTAGGCTTGAGTGTTAAGTTTAGGGTCTAGAGTTTAGGTTTAGGGTTTAGGGTCAAGCGACTTGGCTAAAACCCTAAACCAAATAAAACCCTAAACTCTAAAATCCAAACAGTAAGCATCTGAAACCCCGACGTGTTCTTGGTTTCAGGTTTAGATTTAGTAGGGCTTAAAGTTCCGGCTCCGGGGTTTACTGTTTAGTGTTTAGGGTTTAGTGTGTAGGGTTTAGTGTGTAATGTTTAGGGTCTAGTTTCTAGGGTGCAGTGTTTAAGTGTTTAGGGTTTAGTGCTTAGCGTTTAGGTTTTCGTGTTAAGTGTTTGGGGTTTGTGCTAAGGGCTTAGTGTTAAGTTTTTAGGGTTAGTGTTTCGGGTCTAGTGCTGAGTGTTTAGAGTTTAGTGCTAAGGGTTTCGGGTCTGGTTTTTAGGGTTAAGGGTTTTAAGGGTTTGAAGGTTTTTACAAATTTAAATGATCTGGGGAAGGCACCGGGGCTTCCCCTGACCATTGACAACTTAAAAAACCCTGCCGTTTAGGGTTTAGGGTTTAGTGTTCAGGGTTTAGTGTATAGGGTTTAGTGTGTAATGTTTAGGGTTTAGTTTTTAGGGTGTAACACTTTCTAGGGTGTAGTGTTTAAGTTTTTAGGGTAGGGTTTAGTGCTTAAGCGTTTAGGGTTGCGTGTTAAGTGCTTGGGGTTTGTGCTAAGGGCTCGTAGTGTTAAGTTTTTAGGGTTGGTGTTTAGGGTCTGGTGCTGAGTGCTTAGGGTTTAGTGTTCAGGGTTTCGGGTTTGGTTTTTAGGGTTAAGGGTTTCAAGGAATTTTACAAACTTAAATGATCTGGGGAAGGCACCGGGGCCCCCCCAAACCATTTTTCTAAAAACTTTTGGAAATTTAAATGGTCTGGGGAAGGCACCGGGGCTTTTCCAGACCATCTGAACTTTTAAAATCATTAAAATCTTGTCAAATTCATTGAAATTCTGTTTAAACATTCTCAGGATTTTAAAGGTGTTAAAGCCTTTTAAAAACCTTAAAATGCTTAAACATTTATGTGGCTGCCCTTTAGGATTTTAAGGATTTTTAAAGTTAGTTGTCATGGTTTGGAGAAGCCCCGGTGCCTTCCCCAGACCATGTAAATTTTACAAATCCTTTATCAGGACAGGATTGTAGGATGTTCAATTCTAAAATCCGTAACTTCCTTAATGTTGAACGGCTGCCCTTTTAAAATTTTAAGGTATTTTAGAATTTTAAGGGATCAACGTTTTCAGGCGTTTTAGGACGTTAAAGCCTTTTACATCATGAAAGTTTTGAATGGCTTTAAATACCTTAAAGCCCTTAAAATTGTAAAAGGGCTGCCCGTTCAAAAACAATTAAGGATTTAAGGGCTTTTAAAATTTGAAATGGTCTGGGGAAGCCCCGGTGCCTTCCGCAGATCATCTAAATTTTAAAAAACCCCTAAACCCTGAAAAGCCTCAAATTCTAAATGGCTGCCCTTCTAAAATTTTATGGAGCCGCAACACACACGTTTCAGAAGCAAAAATGCACACAAAAACACTAGTGTTTTTATAGGGGATAATATAAAAGAGCCTTTTGTGTTCTAGTACAGTTTCTACTGCATTTTTCCGAGGAAAAACAGAAAATCAGACAAAGACGAAGACAGGAAAACCGCAGGTGTGGATCATGGGGGGGGGGGGGGGGGGGTGACCATATATATATATATATGTATATATATATAGAGATATAATATATATATATATGTATATAATAAACTCTTATGTTTTTCATCGTCATATGATTTGTATGTTGAAGTGAGCCTGCATGGCTTATGTTTAGGGTTTCGGGCTTGGGGCTTTGGGGTTTTTGACTTAGGGTTTAGGGTTTAGGGTTTAGGGCTTGAAAGCGCAAGGCCTTCGTGTAGCTGCGCCACTGAAGCACGCAGACGGACAGAGATGCTCCCGTCATCTGGCCTTATCACGAGGGCCGCAGAAAACCCCGAACACCCTTTAAACCGGAACACCCTTAAACCGGCACCCCTAAGACCCCTAAGCCCTGTAAAATCCTGGGATTCCGGAACGTCTCGGGTGATCCCTCATCTGCAGGGACCAATCCGAAGATACCACAGGGGTCGGAATAATAACAAGTAGTATTCCCTTACGGCCCCTTGAGATTTTAGAAAAAACAACCCCCGAAACCCTGTTCTAATTTTTTAAGGCCCCTATATACGTATATATACATACATATATATATAGACATATATACATATATACATATATACATATATACATATATACATATATACATATATATATATATATGTATATACATATATGCATATATATATATATATATATATTGTGTGTGTGTTTGCCCTTTTCTCTTCTCGGCTGAGGTGTCGGTCGCGGTCAGGGATCTTTGCCGCAACCAAGGAGCTCCAAGTGAAACACAGACAAGGGTTTAGGGTTTAGGGTTTAGGGTTTAGGGTTTAGGGTTTAGGGTTTAGGGTTTAGGGTTTAGGGTTTAGGGTTCTACAAGTTATAAAATTCACAAGCCCCATAAGACCCTAAGCCCTAAACCATACAACCGAAACCCGCAACCCCAAACCCTAATTAAGCCCGAAACTCTAAACCTAAACCCTAAACCCTTTGACCCCTAGAACCCTAAACCCTAAACCCTAAACCCTAAACCCTAAACCCTAAACCCTAATGCCCGAGGCCTAGGATAAGGCCCAGCAGTGACATCGCTAAGGTCGCGCCTCTGGAGCTGTTACCTCGGCGTTGGGGGGGTGTTGGGGCCTTGCAGGTTCCTAGGGCTCAGGACCCTAAACCCTAAACCCTAAACCCTAAACCCTAAACCCTAAACCCTAAACCCTAAACCCTAAACCCTAAACCCGAATCCTTAAGTCCGATTCGGGCTTAGGGTTCGGGGGCGCTGCGGGTTTGCGCTCTCAGTCCCTCACAGAGTTGTGAGGCTTTGCAATGTCCATATTATATGATATGTTCGTTCCTCAAAAAGTACCCCTACCCTATGATCAAAGCACTATAGAACCTCATAGGACCCCATAAACAATGTAGACATCATTTCCAAAAGGTTCCCAAAACAAGGATCTCTTGAAGGGGGACCTGGGGCCTGGGAAGGCTTTAGGGGGGTCTAGGGTACAGCACGTGCAAACCGCAACAGTCCTCCAAAATTTGACAAAATGAGATCACCTGAATCTTAGGGTAGTTACATGGTCCCTTAGTATGGGCCCTTAAAAGAGAGACCCCTTATATACCCCTTAAGTATATACCCCTATTATATAATCCCACCCTTACACTTAGGGCCCAGTCGCTGGTGGATCCGTCCGGCACGGTTCGCGTGGTGGTCGTGGTAGTCTCGGCCGTGATGCCCACGGGCTGCTGCTGCGTGGAGCAGTGGATTCCACCGCCCCCGAAGGCAATGGGGTCCACGTTGAGGGTCTCCACAGTCCTGCGCCCTAAACCCGAAACCCTAACCCGCTAAAAAGGGCCGAAAACCACCCGAAAGCCTGTTTAAGTTTCCCTTCAACTTGAAACCCTGTTTGGGGCTTGGGTTTCGGGATTTAGGATTTGGGGTGGCCTTGCCTTTCGACGGGGGTGGCCAAGAATTACGAAGGTTTAGGGTTCAGGCTATAGGGTATAGGGTTTAGAGTTTAGGGTTCAGGGTATAGGGTTAGTGTTTCGTCTCCTCCAGACTTCCCCCTCCCCACCGAAGCCTCTAAGTCTTCAAACAGAACCCTAAACCCTAAACCCTAAACCCTATAAACCGAAAGTCTTCAAAAAAGCAGGGCTTCCCTGGCAAGTCCTGCCGGGGTAGAGCTCCTGCAGCTTGGACACAGCCGCCGCATCCGTCACGCTGTCCCCAAAGTTCTGTGCCACCACCACTCCATTGGCCACCTTAAACTTAAAGTTCTTTCAGGGGGCCGGGGACGCCAAAACCCTAAACCCTAAACCCTAAGCCCTAAGCCCTAAACCCTAAACCCTAAACCCTAAACCCTAAACCCTGCGGGGGCTTTTAACGTCTTATTATTCAGGTGAAGAAGCCCCTAAATTGGCCACCTTAAACTTGGGAAGCTCCAGTCCAGGGCTGGGGCTTGCAGGTTCTCCTGCAACCCTCAACCTTATGAACCTTATCGACTTTACACCCTAAGCCTTACAAACCTTAAACCCTAAAGCCTTATAAACCTTAAAACCCAAAGCCTTATAAACCTTATGAAGCTTATCGACTTTACACCCTAAGCCTTACAAACCTTAAACCCTAAAGCCTTATAAACCTTAAACCCTAAAGCCTTATAAACCTTAAACCCTAAAGCCTTAAAAACCTTAAACCCTAAGCCTTGTAAACCTTAAACCCTGAACCCTCAACTCGCAGTGTTTCGTGTTCTGAGGTTAGGACATCCCCTACAAAAAAACACAGAACAATCACCACGGGGGGGGGGGGGGGGTTAGGTTTAGGGTTTAGGGTTTAGGGTTTAGGGTTGGGTTTAGGGTTTAGGGTTTAGGGTTTAGGGTTTAGGGTTTAGGGTTTAGGGTTTAGGGTTTAGGGTTTAGGGTTTAGGGTTTAGGGTTTGGGAGGGGATCCTGGGAACCTCTTGGCGCCATGCAGCCCCGGACTAGCTGCTCCGAAAAAAGAAAAGCCCAAGCCTACATAAAATCGATGAAGCCCTTAACCCGATGAACCCCTAAACCCTAAACCCTAAACCCTAAACCCTAAACCCTAAACCCTAAACCCTAAACCCTAAACCCTAAACCCTAAAAGTTGGCAGCCCAAGCGGCGTAGTAGTTGATGTAAGAGGCCGCGAAGCCCGTCGTACCTGTGCTCCACTCCGGCCGCAGGACTTCCTCATAGAACTGCTGGCTATGAGGCAGAAACTTGGGATGTTCCCCCTGTTTCGTAACAGTCCATAAGGATTCTAGTGCCCCCTATTATAACCCCTACTAAGGGCTGCTAGTATAAGGGTGAGAAACCCCCAGCCTGAACAAAAATTGGCACAACACCCTTTAGAAGTTGCTAACGTGGTTCTGAGCTTCAGCTGCCCCCGCAGGAAGGGCTTTGGGGCTGAGAGGGTCTAGGGGGATATGATGAACTCAAGGGGTTCCGAAGGGAGAGGGGGGGGGGGGGGGCCCATGGGGTAGGAACTTAGGGAACTATTCGGAAAGCTGTGGGGAGTAGTAGGGAACCTTGGGTTACATAACCCCCCCTTAACCCCCCCACCCGCTTTAAGAACCTCATACGCTGTTAGAAGTGTTGTCGTTCTTTTTGTTCCGGGCTTGTAGGTGGTAAAGTGTCGCTGGACACAGAGTGCAAGTATCAGGGATTCTCCTCCCCCTATACTGCTTTTCACACCACAGCAACCTCCCGCTCCCCCAACAAAAAAAAACAACTTGAAGAGCTTGAGGTTTTCGACTTCTAAATCGTGTAAAAGCCCCAAACCCTAAATCCTAAACCCTAATCCCTAAACCCTAAACCCTAAACCGGGCTTCTGGGTTGTCCAGGATGTGGACGGTAAGCTGACGGCCGCGAGCATCTGTGGCGCCCTGGAGGTCGGCGATCACTTGGCGGGTCACGTTGTAGTCCTTCGTAACAGTTTAGGGTTTAGGGTTTAGGGTTTAGAGTTTAGAATTTAGGGTTTAGGGTTTATAGGTTTGGGGTGGCATTGTCGCGATTCAGGTTTGCGCCGCCTTTCCAGTGTTTGCATTCTCCAACGATTGCAGAGAGTCGGAGTCAGTGGTGGCCATATGGTAGGAGGATGGCAAGTGGTAGGGTTTAGGGTTATTTAGGGTTAGTGTTTAGGCTTTAGGGTTTAGGTTTATTGCTTATCTGGAATCGCTAGCAGGACGAGGGTCGTCCTCCAGAGTGAAATAAAACAGCCATCCGGGTTTAGTTTACGGTTTACGGTTTAGGGTTCAGGGTTTCGGGTTCAGGGTTTAGGGTTCAAACCATATTATAATATAACAAGGGTGTACCCTTGTTTGGGGATTGGATGCTTTATAAGGGTACCTTGAACCAAGAAAGGGCCAGAGGGTACCTCCCACCAAGAGTCGTAGATGGTGGCATCGTTCTCGCGGGCGGCGACCACGACGCCGGGGGACGTAAAGCGAGCGTAGAAGTCGATGTGGGCGTCAGTGATGTCCTTGCCGATAATCCCGTCGGTCCAAATCCTGAGTTGCGGGTCAGCCGCAGGAAAATGAGCAAACAAGTAAGAAAAGCAAGGCTTTCTTGGCACCAAACCCTATAAACCCTAAACCCAAAACCCTAAACCCTATTAACAGCAACCCAGAAGCACCTTTTCGATGCCCAGCGTGGTGTAGAGCGCAGCCTCCACCTGGGCCTCGTCCCACCCTGGGTTCCGGTTCGGATTAATCACGGAGCTCCGGGTGATGATGGCGGTGCCCTCGCCGTCCACCTCCACCGACCCGCCCTCCATGACCTGAACGATCGTGTTTCGGTTCGAAAAACCGATGTATAACGCGGCTTCTTCTTGTTTGCTTAGTTGGTTCTTGGGTATAACTTCTAGCATAAACATCCATCGGAGAAGAGCTCTTTCTTCAACAATGCCCCGGCCGCCAAGGTGGACTGCACGTACGTTGCCCCTGAGAAGCTCGCGACATTGGCGGCCACCTTGGCATCGTTCGTGTGGTCTTGCTTCTGCCCCCAGCCATTGAAATTGAAGTCCACGCATGACCTATACTCCCCTTAGAACCTTATAAAAATGATAATAACAATATGTTTAATATCCTCTTGGGTTTATGAAAAAACTTAAAAAGTAATTCCCAAGGGGGATATAGTGACAGGGGGGCCGAAGGCCATGCATGGTCTACAGGCTGCCCGTAGGTGGCAACGCACTCGGTGTAGTTGCTGCAGTTGTAGGCAAAGATGCAGCTCGTGTCCCGCATCCAGAGGTCGTCCACTTGAAAGTCCACCACTTGAACTGAGCTGTTCAGCTGGCTTTGCATGAAGGACTTGTCTCCTGGGCTCACGTAGATCACCACCGGCTGGTACTTCACCAGCGTGTTGGCCAAGAGGGCAAGGGAGCCCTGAACAGATTGGGTGTGGGTGCCCCAGACATTGCTGGTGGCTGTGGACATGTACACCCTCGTCTGCTGCGCAGCCTCTTCGGGCATGAAGAGGGCATTCGCAAGGCCGACAACCGCGAGGGCTGTTCCCACCGGAACAGAAGGGAGCCCCATAGCGCACACGATGGGGAAGGGGGCGGGGGGGGGGTGGGGGACTACACCAACGGAAACAATACCTGGTGGAGGCAGTCCGCTGTCATCTCACTGTCATGTGCTCTCTGTTCTGCATCAGGTTCGCAGAAAGGCCTGCAACGAAGGAGCTGCTGTGTCTGTCGAGCAGAATCCGGGAGGCATATGGCCATACAAGCTGCAAACAACATTTTCCAGCCTAAACTTAAAACCCTCAAGCCCCTTCAAGGCCATGGACCGTAAACCCAAACACCTGAGACCTCTGCCCCAGAAGCCCCTGCAAAACCCTGAAAAACTTAGCATCTCCAGACGGTTTGGGAACAGGGATGTTGGCGGATCATGGGATTCTACGCCAATGCTTTCAAATCCCGAGCTCTAAAGCCTTAGAACACCAACAAACTCTCAAACACTCAAAGGTCCCCAAAGCTTCCCCGATTGAAGAAGAAAGCCAGAGATCAAGTCCACCCCCCCCCCCCCCCCCCCCCCCCCCCCCCTCCGCCTCACAAATTTACCCCAACTGAACCCTAAGCCCTAAAGCCCTAAACCTCGAACCCTGAGGTAACATCCTGCAAGGTCTGTTCTTTACGCTATACCACCCAGGCCCCCCACCTCCACGACTCCTTCCCCCCTTCCCCTTCCCCTTCCCCCCCCCTTCCCCCGCCCCCAAAGGAACAAAGAGCCCGGAAGGGTTTAGGGTTTAGTGATTGGGATTTCGGGCTTCGTGTTTGGGGTTCTAAACCCCAAACCCCAAACCCCCAACCCCCCTAAACCCCTGTAGGTTCAGACAAAGCTGCATCCTGATTCCGGGGCCTTTTCAGGTTCAGGGTTTGGGTTTTGGGTGAAACCTTGGCCCGCCACTAATTGCCGCCTTTGCCATCTTCTCACTGGCCAGGGCCTCTTTGAGTTGCCCTAAACCCTAAACCCTAAACCTTATAAACCCTAAACCTTATAAACCCTAAACCTCATAAACCCTAAACCCTAAACCCTAAACCCTAAACCCTAAACCCTAAACCCTAAACCCTAAACCCTAAACCCTAGACCTTACTGGTTTCCGTGGCCGTCTGGGGGTGAGGTGGGAGGAACGCGGTCAAGCGCTCAGGGTTTTGAGATTTGGTTTGGGGTGCAACCAACAAAACGAGGGCTCAGGCTTCAGGGTTTACTTAGGGTTTAGGGCTCAGGGTTTACTTCGCGTTACGTGGAGTTCTCTACGGGCTTGTCGTGGGTAGTTCTCTATGAGAGTGGGTCTGTTCGGAGTCCTTAAACCCTAAACCCTAAACCCTAAACCCTAAACCCTAAAATTAGGAGGGCGCGGGTTTGATAAGGGGTGCCCCAAAAAGGCGATGTAGAGAACTGCCCCATCCGGTGCTTGTTGGGATCTTCAAGGTCCCTAAACCCTAAACTCTAAACCCTAAACCCTAAACCTTATAAACCCTAAACCTTATAAACCCTAAACCTTATAAACCCTAAACCCTAAACCCTAAACCCTAAACCCTAAACCCTAAACCCTAAACCCTAAACCCTGCCATTTAGGGCTTAGGGCGCTCTACGCCGCGCCTCCAAATCCTTCTGCTTTTTCTGCATCAGGCGGAGGTCCTCTTTCGAGAGCGTTCATGTTTTCTAGGGTTTAGGGTTTAGGGTTTAGGAAGTTTAGGGTTTAGGAAGTTTAGGGTTTAGGAAGTTTAGGGTTTCGGAAGTTTAGGGTTTAGGAAGTTTAGGGTTTAGGGATTCGGGAGAAAGCCATGGTGGTTTCTGCAGGGTTGAGAGGTTTGCCAGAGTTAGCGCCGCAAGTTGAGGCTTCGGGTGAGGAGTTCACTGATGTCACAAGAGGCTTGCAACTGGCCTGCCAGCTTCGGTAAGTCTTGCCCTCTGGCTGCCAACCCACCCACAAAGTCTTACAGGGTTTAGGGTTTAGGGTTCAGGGTTTAGGGTTAGTGGGATTCTTTTGCCTCATGCTTGCTTTTCATCTCTTCAGATTCCCCTTCGCAGTTCGAGACAAGAAAAAGGAATTGAATGAAAATTGAAATTCAGCCGTTGCTTTGGGGGGCCCCGCAGGTCGATCAGGGCTTCGGAGGACGAGGGCTTTAGGGTTTAGGGTTGAGGGCTGCATCGGCTGCAAGCTGTCGGAAGGCTAAGGCCTCTGAGCAAAAGAACGAGCCATCCGGCAGGTTTAGTGTCTTCACGACCCCATGGCCTTGAGCATGGTAGTTTTTCTGGTTGCTGATGGCCATGGGGGTCTCTTTCAAAGAAGGCCCAGTGTCGCTGACCCCAGATCCTGCTTGAAAAGTTGCGTTCGACATGTTCTGAAGTATGGGATGGAAGAGACCAGCGCCACCGGCCCGGACCGCATCCTTGCCGGAAGAGACGTGTGAAACTCGCGAGACACGACGCGATCATTCAAGCTGAGAAGCTGCTTTGTAAAGTGATGAAGCTTTCTACACGTGTTTGCCCTCTTGGGAACTACCCTAAACCCTAAACCCCAACCCTAAACCTTAAACCCAAAGCAGACAGCTGTACAGGATAAGGTTCAGGATGCACAACAGCGGTTCAGGGCCTTGGGGGATTTAGGAGTTGGGGCGGGGATTTTGGAGTTCAGGGCTCAGAGTTTGTGAGTGTTGGGGTCTCGTGTTTTGGGATTTAGGCTTCGGGTTGGGGGTTAGTGGAGGTTTGCCAGGGCCTGTGAGTTTCTGTAGAACATGCCAAAGCCCTGCAGCCTTGAGATTCTTGGATTTGTTGGGTTTGGGGTTCACGGTTTTGACTTGGCTGCCCATGCTTGCTTTCTCTGTCTTCAGCTTCTCCTCGCACGCCTAAGAAAAAAGGGGTTCGAGCCGCAGCCGTTGCTTTAAGGGGGCCGAGGAAAGCAGCTCGATGAGGGCTTGGGAAGAGCTTGCAAAGCAGAAAGAGAGTGGAGTCCATGTACTTTTGAAGTGATTTGAATGGTATAGAGGGAATCCCAACGATTCGGTTCATCCTTGGGTCCCTGAGGGCTACTTTTCCGTGACGAAAACCCGGCACCCCAAGCCTGAACCGATGTAACTTCCCTGCACCAACCGAGAAGCCGCAGGCCGGAAAACCGCAAAAAAATATGCGGTTTGATTATAACAATCAAAGATACTTTACATTGACAATCCAGAAAAAGTACCACCAAAGGAACTCAGCCAAAAACTTTCCTTAGCAATTCGAAGGGGCTCTCCTAAAAATATTTTTTGCCATCAGCAAGCTTCCTTGGAGATTCCGTCGGCGTCGCCATCGCCATAGTAGTCGTAGTAGTCGTCGTAGTCGTCGTCGTCGTAGTAGTAGTAGTAGTAGGAGCAAGCAGCAGCAGTAGTCGTCCCTCACCCCCGCCCTCCAAAGAAGCTCAGAACAAATTGTACCGAAATCATGTGATAAGAAGAGCGAATCCGTTGTCAATAGCAATTTTTGGGGTAGGCTCAGAAATTCCTACTCTCGACACTTCTTCTAAAGTTGAGCTAACACCTTGGCGCTCCTAGGTTTCCGCATACCTCTCCTCTCTTCCCTCCCCTCCGCGCCTCTCCTCTCCTCTCCCCTCCTCTCCTCCTCTCCTCCTCTCCTCCTCTCATATACACTCGCCAAGAACAGAAATATAAACCCTTTTAGTAATTTTAGGGTTTAGTTGCTTATGGTCCAGGGGCTTAGGATTTCTAGGATTTAGGATATTCGGGTCCCCCGTTCATGGGTTCCCATACTACCCCTCCTGTATACTGCACCCTTAACCTTCATTAGGCTTAGTCCTTAAATAGCTTGAATGATGGGGGGAAGTTGGGGGGGGGGGGGGGTAGTAAAGGAGGGGTAAACCCTACCCTAAACCCTAAATCCTAAACCCTAAATCGGGTGGGGGGGGGGGGGGAGCCCATGACCACCTGGTGTTTCGAACACCCCTGCCTATCACTTGAGAGACAGGGCTTGGATTCGAGCACCCAGATGAGCCGCTTGGAGCAACTCATGTTGTGGTTAGGGTTGAGGGGGATAGGGTTTAGGGTTTCGGGTTTCGGGTTTAGGGTTTAGGGCTTAGCGCTACTTGCTTGCTTTCTGGCTTGCTCGCTCTCTTGCTCTCTTGCTCTCTTGCTCTCTTGCTCTCTTGCTTGCTTGCTTGCTTGCTTCCAAGCTTCCGTGCTTGCTTGCTTGCTTGCTTGCGTGCGTGCTTGCTGCTAGCTTGCTTGCTTGCTTGCTTGCTTGCTTGCTTGCGTGCGTGCGTGCGTGCGTGCGTGCGTGCTTGCCTACAGGCCACGGGGCCGAAAAAAAATAAGAAAAAAAAGAAATGAAATTAGCAAAAAACACCGCCACCGCTCTCTCCTCTCCTCCCCCTCCTCCTGTCCTCCCCCTCCTCCTGCCGCGCCCCCCCCCCCTCCCTCCTTCTCCCTCTCTCCTCCTTCTGCCTCCGGCGTTCCGGGATTCCCTTTTTTTGTCGTAATTTGGAACAAAAGTGAAAGCTTGTTGTAAATTGCAGTAAAATTTAATAATACTAATGGCTAACGGCTAAGTTTCTGACGTGCCACCCTCAAACGTCGACAGCGAAGTTGGTTTCAGCTGCAGGCCAAACCTTCAACGGCTTCGACATGCGCGATGCGCAGCAGCTGGAGCGCCAGCACGCCGCGCACACGAACGCGCCATCAGGGAGGTTTTGTGTCTTCTCGCCCCCTTGGCCTCGAGCATGGTTTTGGTGGCTGCTGATGATTGCTGATGGCCAGGGGGGCTCTATCACAGATGGCCAAAGCAACTGTCGCTGATCTCATATCCTGTTTGGGAGCTGCAATTTGCATTCTCTAGGTATGGGATTTCGTCGGAAGGTAGTAGGAAGAGACCTGCGCAGACGCATGGCCCGGACAAAACGAGTCCTCAGAAATTTGCAGAGCTGTTTGCTGTTCAGCTCACGACCGTTCAAAAATCTCAGGGGCCTCGTC